AAGGCGGCCATACTGACCCCGAATCGCGGGTTATCGAATCGTGCCTTCACCGACAGATAGGCATCGAGATGCCGTGCGTACCGACGCACAGTGCGCCGGCGACGCTCGCGTGACAGCGAGCCGAGCGTCCTCTTATGCTCGTGCTTCTCCCGTCACAGCCGCGACCTTCGAGTGTTTACCGTTCGAAAACTTACGTCGCGATCTTGCGTTCGGACCAACCGGAACGGAACTCGGGGACCAATGGACGACGATGGCCCACGGAGAACATGGAACTCCGCAACATTCTTCTTTCAGGTATATTTTTAATTTCCAATCGGTGGATACGGAACTCTTACAGAGGCTACATAGCTTCGACCCTCCTTCCTCCATTATTTATTGAGAAACGTCGAGTAATCACAGAAATTTTTCATTTCTACTCGTTCCTATGCTTAGGATCTTTTCTCGTCAGCATTTGTTAGTTTCGTAATTGTTAGGGAATTTTTAATAAATCTGGTTTCTTTCAGGACCCAGGTATCGTAGAGAAAGGGTGTATAGATATAAATGCCCAATCGCTTTTTCTTTTTAAACAAATGGACGTATGAAACTTGTTTTTGTTACATTTTTATCTCGACATTTGATATTCACCCTTGAACAGCGAATGCAGAGTCAAATATGAGCCGAGAGTAAACATTTTTTTTTCCCCGCAACTTTTTACGGCAGAATTTTATTTTACACTTTGTACAATTACACAGTGTACATAGAAAACGAAAGAACGTAGAGTTTATTTTCGAATATAGCTGTCGCGAACACGGCCGAAAGAAATAGGCATAATTTTCTACAGTTTCGTTTCGCTTAATTAAATCGCTCATTAGCCGCTTTCATCGTTGATTAAACTATTGGTTATCTCCGACGATGCGACACCAATACCAACAACGGTCGACGATCGCAAACGGCGGAACGATTAATTTAATTAACCAAAAATTACAATTATTCTATGAGAATGCTATACCAAAGAAATTCATAATGATTATGATCGTCGATCATCGCGAACGATTAATCACGGGGAACAATTGGCCGATCAGTGTCTAATTCTGCGCTGTTCCGTATAATAGGGACCGAATGGTTCTCACAGCGGCTTTAAGCCACCGTCTCGGTTCGCTTGACGATTTTATGACGGTACATGTCTGGGGGCCAAAGTGGCATGAACTTTCCGTGGAGCGTTATTTAAGATCTATCGCCTACTCTGGTTAACAATTAATTATTACCGGGCAAACTTTATGCTTTCCTCAAAGTTGTACGCGTTTTCAGGGTGTCACAGGATCCACCGCGATCCACTTTGCGTGGAGTCTATACCGCGGGCAACTAGTAGCTTGCCACGGCAATAAATTGCTCGAGCAACAATGTACCGTCGTAAAATTCTAGAAAGTACTCCCGGGTCCGCGTGACTTCCGGCCCCCCGTGTACTAATCTTCTCCGTTTTCTGGTACTTGGCCGCGGCGGTGAGGTAGGTCGGCACAGTTTCCCGTCGATGCCGCCTTTCTATTCGAACGACTCGCCGGGGAACAAGGAAGCAGAAACGCGGTAGCTGCCTCGACGCTAGGCGTAACCGCATTAACGAGAAAGATGGAAGAATGAACCGGCGTTGCTTGGAGACGTAAATGCATTTCAGTTATGGCTGGACGCTCCCAACAGCACTCAATATTCACGATGGAAAGCATCAAACTACGCCGGGATCGTTACAAATTTTTCAATTCCCGTTTTAACCCTCCGAATGGCGAACTATCTTCGTCGCCCCTCGAGTATTTTTCGATCGGTCGAATATTATTTATTCGCGACAACTGCTTCTCAGCACTTTTCGCGCTAATAAGTGCAAACTAAGATTTCCAGTTGGAGAAACGATGTTTTTAGTATTAAAAGCGTAGTTTAATTATTTAATGTTATATTTGAATAATTGATTGTTCGAGTCCGAGTGGGAGTTGAGCAGTACGGGTAGAAAAATGTCGGAAAGAGAAGCGTCTCGAATCGTTAGACGCGGTGCGCGCGAACGCGACGTTTGAAGGTTAGCAGGCCTCCTGGCGACGCGTCGCCGCCTAATAGAATGACTGGTCGTCTGACCACCATAACCTCGCCGACCCATCGACCCCCGCTATACGTTCCTGGGATAAACGCAGAGTAAGAGACGGTGGAGGCGGAGTAAGAGGAAGAGGAGGTGGAGGTGGAGGTGGTGGTGGAGGGGTGGAGAAAGGTGCAGGAGGAAGAGGGTGGGCAGGGTCGAGGGTGAACCCCTTATTGATTTTTAGGGTGACACTGTCAACCGGCGAGTGTTGAGTCCCCCGCGACGGCAGAGACTTTGAAACCGACGAGGAGCGAGAAAAAATGTGGCGGGCGTCGCGCGATTCGACGCGCGAAAAGCATCCCCTATGGCGGGGCTGTTGATCTAGGATGATCGCGGGAACGGCGGGGATCTGGTGTACGGTGATTTGGATCGGTTACGGGCGATCCTGTCGGGCCAGCACGGACCACGAGCCGTTTTTTCGGTCGGGTAAAAGTGGCGAGCTTGGCCGCAGCGGCAGCGACGGCGGTGACAGAAAAGAGTAACTGTGGCGAGGCGCAGTCCCGTTGCGGTCGGGGGTGCAGCTCTCGGCGCAGGGCCGTACGCATCCGTGGGCGACGCTCCACGTGGAACAGCTGCTCGGTCGCGTCCTCTCTTATGTTTTGCCAGCCGTCTCGGCCACGGTGCGCGGCTTAGTTCTCGCGACACGACAACCGCCGACCAATCGGCCGTTCTTTCTTTCGGTACTCACCGAATCGTTATTTTTCCTGGTGTTCGTTTCGTGCGGGAGCCCACGCCACCGCCACCGCGTCGCGTCGCGTCGCGTCGCGGCGAGTCGTCCATGAATGAGCAGCGAGTGACGCGTGTGTTTTCCGTAATTGCCTTTCGTGCTCGATCGCTCCTCGACATCCCCGCTTGGTGACGTGTGTCCATTGTGCGCCACGCTTTCTGCCTCCGGCACGCAGAGAGTCGCGACTTTCCACAGTGCTCACGGGACCGTGCGTTGCTCGGGGTAAGGCTCGAGGAAACGTCGGTTTTTACGGTTCCCGCAGCGGGGGAGGCGCATAGCCGAGGGTTCGATCGAAAATCGAAAGGGAGGGAAGTGTGAGAAATAGTCGAGAGTGTTTGGGGACTGTCCGTGCAGTTGTGCGCGATTAGTTGTCCAGGTTTGGTACGCGTAACCTTTTCGTTACGCCGGGCGGCCAGGCGTCTCGTGTGTTGTTTACAAATCAACGGTATTACGTTGCTGCACGTCGTGTCGGCCGACCTACACGGCGTAGACTCGCATGCAACAGGCGACACCGCGTTGCCAAAGTTTCCTCTTGATTAATCGATCGGAAATTACAGAGTCGGTCCGGTGCGATAAATCACGCGGATTCGAATATAATCGCGCAGCCAGGCTGCCGGTCGGTGCCCACCGAGGAAACGCGTAGACGACCGCGACGCATTGGCGTAGGCGCCGGGGAGACGTCTAGGGAAAAAGTCGCCTCGAAAAGTTTCGGGTGCACGGCGCAAGGAATATCAGCCGTGTAATTACGCGAAGGTAGCGCGCGGCTGGTGGAATCAATACGAACGGATTACTTCGCCAGGAGTTCGACGGTGATCGAGGGACACCGAGAGCGCGTCGAGTCGGTGAATTTTTCGAACGACGCAGGAAAGGCGAGTGCCGTCGCGGTGCTGCGTTGTACCCTTGATGGGGTGGTGTGGTTTCGTTGTGTTTGGGCGGGGTGACAGGCACTCGTTGCAGCCGCGTTGGCTGATGCAGCCAGTTTGCTAAAAATGGCAGCGTCGTTCGGGATCCACGCGTGGAATAACAATTACTGGCTAAGACCGAGGAAGAAATCTAGTTGACACTCGGGCGCGGGCAGCTTGGAGGGACAGAGAGTACCGAACACGTGGTCCGTCAGGGAGCCAGTTAGTGCTAGCGGTTTGCCACCCGAGGTGCGTGTGTCGGCTAGCTACGCCCCTGGCGCACGTGCGTACGTGTATTTCTGCGAGCGTCGCGAAGCGGTGCACGTGTGAGTGACAAATCGCGAGTGAAAGTGCCGTCCAGAGAGACTAGTGACTTTTTATCCTCTAAACAGGCTTCTTGCATTTTTACTCCCGCGAAAGCTGTCCCCTGACAGCTCAAACTTGACGTTTCCCGACGTCCGGCATCCACGGCTTCGCCACCTCCAAATGATTACGCAAAAGTTCATCGTTATCCTCGAGGGGATATCGCGAACGTACGAGCGGTAGACCAAGAATCGATCGGCAGTCGAATTCGTGAAATAAACGCGCTCCATTTTTCGACAGTTAACATTCGAGGAAATACGAGCGTCGAACGGTGCGGCGCCACCTGCGCGCTACGTCCCTGGCGAGGCTGGTCTGTTGACTCTGGTGGTGTTTATTCGCGCTTGTCTCTTACTCTCTCTCTCTTGCACCGGGCCATTTGTGTTTGGAGGATCGCGAATTTGTTGCAATGTGACGGCAAGATGAATGAAGATTAGCGTGATGTCGGACCTGTGCACGCGCGTTGCAGCGGGTGCGCGCCCGGATCTCGACCGGAAGGCCCGTGAAACGTCTTGAAACAGGTTAAAAATCACCGTGAAAATGCCGGCAACGCGACCGCACAGGTGCCCATTGTTGTCGCTAGATTTCAGACTTTTCGACGAAACCGCGAATTCGGACTCGCCAAGAGCTCCGCGTGCCGTTTTCCGTGCATTCTGAGTGCCCTCGCGTTGCTGGGACTCGCGTATCGCGTTCCAACTACATTCTAGGTTAGGTTACCGGCACATAACCTTAAAGGGACCCTAGTGCGCGAAACAGCTTATCGTTTGCGGAGGAATAATCGACGCGCGACGTATCTGTGACCTCCTACGGTTGTGTGCGAAGTGAGAAGACGAGAGGACCAACGTTCCTGGTGAGTGCTGATTCCTACCGCAGTGGGTGATCGGTGCAATGGAATGATCTGGGTGACCGCAGGACAATGAAGGCCAATGGGACAAATAATGGTGATTTCTGTTTGTTTCTTGGTCCGTATAGAGCTTCTAGGGAACATTATTTTGCGTGTTGTTTTATGTTGTAACCAAATAAGTTGTTACCAAACGCATAGGTATTCTTGTGCATAGTGTTTACGTCCGATAGGTATTACTTTTGCGATCGTGGTAAAGGTTGTAAACATTGTGTGAGAATAGTAGTTAATATCGTATGTAATCGTTGATGCATGATACGTTTTCTTCCCCGTTGTTCCATTATTCTCCATTAATTGTATAACTATTGTCTGAATTTTTACATATTCTATAGGAATTAAGACACGGTAGAATATCAACGGTGTAAAAATTTGTGGCCAAGCAAGTAAAGCTCCGCTGTTGTACGTGTAATTAATTAGAATTCTGGTAATACTGTTATAGCATAATGTTTGTTGTGTTTTTAAGCACGCTGTTAATTATAATTATGCAGTGCATTCTACTCAAAACAAACTATCCAATTACTTGTTTTAGCTGCAAAGATACAAGGAAATGTTTTGTGTATAATTGGAATGGAGTATACATAGACAATTAGGTGGTATGTTTCGTAACCCATATATTTGTTAACATTGATTATAACGGTAATTATAAGCTTTGCTTTTCCTAATGTGTACATAGATGGAAACCTAAGCACAGTGAAATTTATTACCACCTAGCTCAGGAATGGTGAACCTTGCCGTAAATGCATTTTTATGTTTCTTTAGATTTTCCAATCGAGTAATCGATATTTTCCTTTTACAAAATTCTTTCAATTTGGTTCGGAGCAATTGCAAGGATTAATTAGCAATACATAATGTTTCTAAATTCAGCATACGTAATTCTATTCATATCAGGATACGTAATTCTTATATTTCTTAAATTTCATTATTGATTCCCCACTCCTGACCCAGGCTGAAAATGGTGCACACTTTTGTAGAAAAATACGTGTGTCTGTAACATATAAATAGCATAGTTCTCTATAGTTTTCATATATGACGGTTCATCAGAAACGAAACATCTCAATACTTTCGTTGAGAACGATATTTATATAAAGTGTCCGGTGGCCTCTAAAACCGAAAATAGGATGATTTTACACGAAGAAGAAATAAATAAAATTTATCGAGTATCGGACACAAATACTAGAGATAATAATCAAGATTATATACGGCAGTGTCGAAGTACCGGGCCTTTCACCTCGCTGTTGAGATTCCATGAACTTTCTCGTTAAAGGATCGAGGTGTCTCGTTTCTGTAGGGCCGCCCTGTATCGTTACTTTTGTATCGTTATTAGACGATTGGCGTTGATTACCCAAAGGTACCAATCGTAACGGAAGCGCGACCGTGCGAATTCCAGGCTGTAGCCGCCTGAACACGCCATTGGCAGCCACCACCACACTGGAGGATCCGGGAACACCAGCCTCTTGGAAGGGCCCGCCGCCCGGCTCGGAGGCATCACCCTTTACGCCGAACTCCGTTGGCCAGGGTGGAGGCCCTGGGTCCGGTCCCTACAACAGTACAGGTGGTCCACCTAGCAATGCAGCCTTTCAAGGTCCGAGTCCCTTTCCCGGCGGCGCTGGGAGTCCAGCGGGCGCGCCACCTTATCAAGGACCACCTCCAGGCTCCGCGACGCCTCAATACACCGCGTCGCCGGCACCCAGCGGTTCCTCGACGCCCGGTCCGGGACCGCCACCGAATTCCGCGGGCTTCCCGCCGCCGCCGAATAATTCCGGGCCTCCTTACAATGGGCCCGGCCCGAGTCCGTTCGGTTCGCCATCTGGCGGGGCGCCGCAGTTCGTTGGCCGACCCGGTTCCTCGGGACCACCGTTCGTACCTCCGGGAGCAGGAAATCCTCATTTCCCTTCTCACGGGCAGCCGTTCGGCGCACCCCAATACGGTATGCCGCCCGGTAGCCCGTTCGGACCCGGCCATCCGATGACAGGACCCATCGGACCCGGTCATCCAGCGATGATGGGACCAGGAGGACCCGTAGAGAGGATAGACCAAGGGTGAGTTCCAAACTTACTCTTTCCTTCATCGTCGACCGCAAGGTTCCTGCAACACACGATCATCTCGATCGATATACACCGACGATTCTTAAAATTAACCCCCAGACGCGATTCGTAACTCGAACTGTTTAAATTTAAAAAAACGGCGCGCCTTCGAGTCTATCGTGCTTGCCGGAGCCTCTCGATCGACGAGCGTTCGCTGCAAGTTCGATTTACCGAACCGGGTATATCCATCGTGAACCTTCTTTCGGGCCGTCTAGTTTATCAGCGTCTGTTTCGGCGGCTCTAGTCTCCGTTTACGAGGACGGTGGTCCCTGTTTGGTAAATCGAGCTCGGCAGTTTCCTTGTGACCGAGCATGTCGATCGATCATTCCCGCGATAAGTCCTAAACGGAATTCGAGTTCCGTATAATAATCCGCCGAGGCCTCGGAATTTTAAGTTCCGAAACGGCGTTTCGCGATCGGTGGTTTCGTCGCGCGTAGTTGTAAACGCGTTCACCGTCGGCGCGTAAAATATAAGAGCGCAGCGCGTTAGACGTTGTTGACCGCTAGGCATTCCTAGATAACACGGTCCCACAGGTAGCCGGTGTTATTTATCGCTCGTCTCCCGGTTAGTCCGCATTCTTGCCGATAATCCAGCCACGACAGGGCTGCGTTCGTGCCCTTTGGAAACGGTCCCGATCGTTTGCATCGATGCTTCTCCCGTGGTCGGACAACTCGTTCTCGAAATCACTTACACGTGCAACGCGGTTGTTCGAACGTCTTCGACGCGATAAAAGCTACAGATGTTTCGGAGCATTCGGATAGTAGCCAGTCAACGAGACTAATAACCATCCGTCGATTTTCTATTCTTATAACGAAATCGATCCGTTTCTTGCGTTACGAGGATACTTCTTCTCCATTTTTAAAGATGACGAATGTAATTGGCACGAAACTCAGTTTTCACGCTCCAGGAACAATTTGAGGATGTTCCCCCAGCCACGGACAGTATCGATATCTTTCAAACAAAATGTCCGATCAGATAGTAAACCACTGTTAGATTTTTAAAAGTGTTTCACAATGTTTTCATATTTAACTTAACATAGTCTGAGAATAATATACCAAAGAATAATCTTGTTTTCAGTCTGAAATTATAATAACGTTCCCTGTTTTGTGTTTATATTTCGCTTGTGTTCTCTGGATAAAGCCAGGAGTCATGAAAAACGACTCTATCGAATCCAGATCGTAGATAGGGTACATTTTTTCTCGATCGTTGCCAAACTTTATCCTAACCCGTGCCAAGCATTGTGAAAACATATTGTTGTTAAGTACTTTTTTGCGAACGGGGCAAGTTGGCAGCCGCGTCAGCGATCTAGACGATCGATACCGAAAAATCTCTCGCTGGCGATCGTCGCGTCGCGAATTAGGCATCGGAGGGTCTCACGAAGGACTCGAACTTCGTGTATTACCGTTAGCCACGCAAACCGAGATTCTTGGACAGCTGCGTGGCACAGGAACACACAGGCCTCGCTATCGGTCCTTTTCACCGTTATTTGGCTAGTTTCCGGCCACCTAGGCGCCATTTTTCTGCAGAAAAAGCAATTTTTTCAAGGAATAACTATGCATAGACTTTTCTCTGGTGTCCTCGATTATGAGAAATGAAATTTCCAACCGATGGAGGCGTAAAGCCTCCGTAGCCGCGCGCAGAAAATTCGTAACGTCGATGCTTCGAGTTTCGTACGACGTATCGTACAACACGGAGCTAATATAATTTATGCAGACTGGACGCGTAGAATCGCGAACCAGTTTCGTTGGAACAGTTTTGTAACAGGCGCCTCCGAAGGCGTGACTGGTTCGGTCGCAGAATCGCGCGAGGGCGCTCGGAACGCCATTATTCGAATTTCCTTGCGCCGACAGCTCCGGGTGACCGCTGTCTCGCGAATTAGGAAGCCGAGAAAAAATCTGTTGTAACGCGTGTAATAACTTCTCCGCGCGAGAGAAATCCGCAGAGATACCGAAGGTGCTCCGGATAATTTTTTCGAGGCGCGTTACACACGCCGAACGGCAGACTTATGCGCGTGGGTAGCCATGAATTTAGCGCGCCATGCGTTTACACGCGCTCGAATTTACTTGGCGTTTTAACTCTCCGCGAACTGGCGAACCGATCGGAGAAAGCCGATCGGGTACACGCAGCTCTCGATATTTTACAAATTCTACGCAACTACGGTCGAACTTTCCGGACAAAAAAGGTCACTGTATTAGGCTGGGAGACTCGTATGATTAATCGTGTACCGTATCTGACCTTTCCGCTACCGAGACCAACTTTAGTCACCGCAAACCAAGCACTGCATATAGTTTCGATGTCGGCGGTGTATACAGTCGGTCGCAGAAGTCTATATACACCCTATAAATTCCAATATCGTGGACGTACGTGAGTTCCCATAATCCTGTGGGTGGTAAATCGGTCGCGTGTAACATAGCGTTTCCGGTGGTGTTTACTATTTTTGCTACAGAAATTGAAACCTTCGACGATCCGTCACCCGACTCTCGGAGAGTCTTTGGTACCGCCATTGTAGCGACGTCTTCGCATATTTGCATCGAAGCCCATTATGTTCTAATCAGGATACATAATCGTTACATCGATCAAATAATATTTACAAGTATGGAATTCCTGTCGAACCGAGGGGTTTATAAATCTAGTGTTAAAACCGGACGAGCGGTTTTCGGGGTCAGAGAGAGCCCGCGGCCGCTGGGTTAATGCTCGAAATCAATTGATGATAGCCCGGGTTTCGAATCGCGCGATATATTTTCGTACCGCGTGCATGATTGGCAGGAAAATAAGCAGCAAGTGTCCGGGAACCAGTTCGTAATTGATACGGTATGAAATTTATCGTCGGTCGTAATCGCGAGAGACGCGGTGTCTCTCGTTCGTAACACGCGTGAACCGCATAAACAACCGGCCCTCCGACTTAACGAGGATTTATAAAACGGCAGTGATAAGATCGCGGTGGACGCTCGCGGGTCCCCTAATATGAATTTTAATTTCTGTCAGGCTTTAATTAACCCCCGCTAGCCCTATAATTTTCACGACGTTGAATAATTGTCTACCTGTCGCAACTTAGTTCGCGCCCTCTCCTCTCCTCTCCCGCGGGAAGCGAGAGAGCCACCGTGGCGTAGAAATTGCACCAAGATAAATTAGCGAGAACGAAGTGGACCCTAGCAGTCTGTTACTTCTTTGTCCGTTTCTTTGTTTCTATCGCGTTGCAACTACGCGCATTGTTCGAGACAGGTTCTTCGGGAGACGATGTAACGGGTGTCACGTTCTTGGCAGGGATTGTACCGCCGAGAGGTGACGCCATACTTTTGCCGTAGGTAGTACGCGACCCACCTCTCCTTTCTCCCTAAACCCTCCTAGCCACCCCGTGTTATGGAGGGCGGGCGAACCAACGAGTGGCAGAGAGGGTGGGTGGGTGGTAGGGGGCTTCGAGGGTGGCGCGAAGGTTCTCATATTTCCTGTATTTTAATTTTTCACGATACATCCAGTGCGTACCATTTTCTGCGAATTGTTTTTCAAACTTTTCTCGAACGAAAACTCGAACGATAGTCGGAACCGTTCAAAAATTCTCGACTCCAGAAAATCGGCTTTCAAAACGCGCGTGCAAAGTGTTTCTTTGATGGAGGAAAAAACATACCCCCATCGTTGGAAGCTGTTCCCCCCTCGAGGAAGAAAGGGGCACTCGTGATTCGAGGTCGAAGTTAACTAACGGTCGTCAATTCCCCGGCGCGTAAAAGAGTTCGTTGAGAACCACTCGAGCCCCGGTGCCCCCTCCGGCTCTTGGTTGCTCCTCGGGTTTGGGTTGAGAGCTAGAGGGGTTGGGGGCGTAGGGTGCTGTAGGTGTAGGTAGAAAAGGTCGGAGGATGGGGTCCAGGCGGCTCGCTCGCGCGTCCACCACCACCGTTTACACTTTCGCGTGTAAAGGGATCTCGGAACGAACGTCGGGGGATCACCGGGCGTGCGTTTCGTTGGCCGTTTGTCTCAGGTCGTGGTCGAGCCGCGGTTCCACGCTGTTACTCCCGGAACGTTTGAGAAAACGAGCAGGAGAAATTTCGTATCGCTTTATAGCGGTCCGGCCGGCCGCAACGAGGGTTTGTTTATACCGCGTTTCCGGGACGGGGCACGTAATTGATCGGTGCCCCGCGACCGTTCGAATTTCCGACCTTGTGCACCTCCGAATCTTTCGATGCCCGTACGCCAACGCGTCTCCTCGCGGAGCGTGCGGCCGCCCCCACCACTGCCATCTCTTGTCAGCACCGGACAACTATACTCTTTTTCGCGTGCGCGCAGCGCCAACGCTAATGAGACACTTTAGCCGCCCCCCATCGGCCGGGGGCGTCTTGAAGGAACAATGATTGCACTTACCAGAGGATCGCGTTGCATTCCGGTCACCGATTTGCGTCCAATTTTTCCCATACTTTCCGCTCACCGTGTACAGTAGTCGCGGATTAAAATTTATTTTTTTTTTTTCGAAAGGTAGATATTACTTTTTTTTAGCTGTAGACGGGGTACTTATTCACGGGCAAACAAATAAAAAATGTGGAATACATTCTTTGATACCGAAAAACAATTTAAGAGGTTTAACCCCTCGACTTTTTTCCACGGGGTTGTTTCACCCTCTGAAAATTTTTTTAAAGGTATAGAAAAATCGTTTGGCTTTACCGTCGAGTACTGTAAATTCCAACATTTTTCGGATATCCCAATCCTACCCTTGTAAAAAAGTGAGGGTGAATTTCTCTATTTCTAGTTACGAGCACATTGAAAAGTAACTGTCTCGTCTCTACGTAAGGAACATTTACTTTAATAAGTAGTCACTGTTGACTCTGACTTTGATGAAAGAACTTTTCTTGGTTTCGTATGAACAAACACAAGCAGCAGTATTCTACTTCTTCTTTATGCATTTACGTAAAGTAAGACGACAAAGATTACAGTCTCTCGCTGTTATACGTAAACTGGTCCTCTTTTCTGAGA